TGACTGCACCTGAAACACATTCGGGATGATGCATGGCAGGGCTTTTGCCTCCATCTGTCTCTCTCTCTCCCCGCGGAGGCTGCAGCCTCATTGATTTTTCCCTTCCCCTCCCACCTTCCCTGGCAGGCAGAATCTTTCACCGGCCCCAGCAGCTGCTCCCGCAAAGCACAACCCCAAGGAGATTTGGCTGCACGCTTGCTCTCAGCATTACGGCCGTGCTCAGGGGAAACCTGGACCCCCTTGTGCATCCAGAGCTGCCAGGGGAGGGCAAGAGACCCTCCTCCCTTCTGACCACTAGACCCTACTCCCCTCCAAGAGCCTGGGATAGAACCCAGGTGTTCTAGCTTCCAGCACCCTCCTGCTCTAACCACTAGACCTCACTTCCCCTCCGAGATCCTGGGATAAAACCCAGGTGTCCTAGACCTCCCCCCTCCACTCTAACCACTAGACCCCACTTCCCCTCCCAGAGCTTGGTAGACCTCCCCCCTCCACTCTAACCACTAGACCCCACTTCTCCTCCCAGAGCTTGAGATAGTACCCAGGTGTCCTGGATCCCAGTCCCATCTGTTCCTTGCTGCCTCAACGGGCCCAGGAAAGGGGCAGTCTTCTGTGGCAGGGCTCCCTGGGCAGGATGTAGAGGTCAGGGTCCTGCTGCTTTGACCGGCCCTGGCTCTCAGCGCCTCCAAGCCGTCAGCCCAGAGAAACCCCAAAGCCCCCAGGGACCTGCCCAGGCTGTGAATTGGCCCATCGATTTCCTATCACAACCGGCCACAATGCACCAAGATCGAGGGGCAGCTGCGGAGAGTCCGCTAGTGATGAGAGTAGGGGGGCAGGGAGCCAGGACACCTGGGTTTGCTCCCTGGCTCCCAGCCCCCCTAGCTCCCTGGTTCAGGGAGGGGAGTGAGGGCTAGTGGTTGGAGCGGGAGGGGGGGGCTGGGATTATGGATAACAGCTGCAGTGCAGCACTAGCTTCGGCCGTCCTGTGTGCAAATGAGGAGCTCTGGCCAGAGAGCCGGATTCGCAGACAGCCCCTTCCCCACCCAGCATGGGGGCTGGGTCTGTCTGCCCTCCTAACACCCATCCCCATATGTGTACCTCTGTCTACCCCCATACACCCCCATCTATCCCTCCCTCCACCCCATCACTCCCCCCATCTCTCCATCCCCATGTGCGTACCCCTCTCCATCCGCATACACCCTCATCCATCCATCGTCCCGTACCTGGGCCAGGTGCCATCCATCTACCCCCCCCGCCCTCAATGATTCTCTGGTTTCCTGTTGCATAGCACAGGTGCTATTCTTACACCTTCTCTATTTGTCTTTTTCATCTCATCACGTCCCTTAATCCCGTGAATCGAATCCATTTATCCAAAGGGAAGCAGCTAATTTCCACGGCCCCTCTGATCTACGCTGCGATGTGACCCCGGCAAATATCCTGCGGCACCCTTTTAAATTACCCCGTCTCATCTGCGGAGCGAGTCCTCGGATCCATGGGCTCAAGCGGATGAAAACGCCCTGTCCGATGCGGTGGGAGGCATTTCATATAATCCTGATAATCTAGTCAAGAGCCCATCACATCTTTGTAATCAAATACAATGAGCGAGCTAATCCGGTTAATCTAATCCGTTAATCTGTCTCGCGGAGGGCTTCCGGCAGCTGCTGCGTCTGGAACTCTGGTTAGGACTGGACAAAGTCTTGGGGCCCGCCAGACCCCTCTCCTCTTCCAGGCCTGGGGGCGTAACCCAGGAGTCCTGGCTCACCAGCCCCATTGCTCTGACCACTAGACCCCACTCCCCTTTGGGGCCTGGGATCAGAAGCCAGGAGTCTTACCATAGTCTAATGCTGTGGCTCTCAACCTGTGGTCCATGGAGCGCTAGTGGTCCATGACTGTCTTGCAGGTGCGTCTCCGGCTTGGGGCTCACCACCCTCTTACAGTGGGGAGCCTGCGTGGCACTCCAGCCCCATGCCCCCCCCCAACAAGGTGGAAGTGCCAGTGCCAGTTCCAGGGGGTCTCACGGACTGGCTCCTGCTTGCGGTGGAGGGAGGGGCTGCATGCACCGCCCCCCCCAAAAACAAAGCAAGGTTAAACCAGAACTACGGTTGTTCATCTATTTCTTATTTCCAGCACAGAGCGCGCCAGATGGCTTGCAGAGTGTGCACGAGACACTTGTGGTAAGTGTGACGGCGCGTTGGGGTTTTCCCGTCTCCTGCACACCCATAGTGGCACAAACAGACTGCACCAGCCAGTAGAACAGAGGGAGTTTATTGCTTCTCCAGGATACAGCACAGCACAGATGTAATCTGGTTACAGGAACTGGGGCTAGGAGGCCTCAGTGCCCCCCCTTGAGATGGGGGGTGGCTGAGCCCTATAATCCCAACCCCTCTCCCTCGCTCCTTCTCCCCTGCTTCCCAGACAGAAACTACCGCTCTCTTACAGCCCTGCTTCCCAGCCAGGGCTCCACTTCGCCGTCTTCCCATTGTTCCGCTCCCTGGGAGATACTGGTTGGACAGGTTCGGAGCCCCCTTGAATAATGACTCATCCCCTGCCCTGCTGGGCCATGCTGCAGACAGCAGAGGTCACCCACAGCCCACTGCCCAGCATAGCAACCAGCAAGGTACCCCCACTACGTCACAGCCTCCCATCCCCCTCATGTCAAGACCTCTACCTCCATCCCCCTCACACACATCCTTCCCCCCACCTGCACCATCCCATCCTCCTACCCCCACCCACGTTGCCATCACGGGTGGTTGGCTGCTGGTCTACGAGAAGGTCTGCGTTGAGCAGAGTAGCCACAGGCCAAAAAGTTTGAGACCTGCTAGTCGAATGTGTCAAAAGATGTCAGAGGAACAAACACGACTCTGTAAAAGCTGGGTACAAGAAGTGTTTTTACTTTTCTTTATTTTAGGAATTGGTGCTGGAGAGAGAGAGTGTGTGTGTTTGTGTGTAAAAAACATGACCTCCAAGTCCAAAACCAGAGATCTCAACAGTAATCTAGAATGGTGCAAATGTGTCCTTTCCTGGAATGAGTGTTCACATCTGCTGCATTGTGCTATTTTGCTTTCAGTCACGTTTTAATAAAAGAGATAAATCACAGTTCAAGAGAGAAGATAGCGGATAAAATATCCTTTGACTTGATCCGTTTTTCCTTGCTCAAAGGTCCATAGAAACACTGAAGAATGTACAGTCTGAGGTTTCATGATGTTCTGAATTCTAGACGAGAATAACTCCTAGATCCCATGCAGTTCTAGGTGTTGTTCTAGACTCATTAATGCCTTGAACGAGTCTAAAATTTGTGAACCATCGATTTCAAAGCAGAAAGGGAGTTAATGGGCAGCTGGGCTGACCTCCTTATGAACACTGGCCAAAGAATCACACACAATAATTCCTACATCAAGCCCAGACCTTCGGTTAGCCACACCAGTCAAAAAGCCCTTTCTGCTTACTGACTCCTATTCCCAATAGCACCCTGCAGGGTATTAGATCTATTGTTGCGCTGAATCAAGGTAGGCTGCAGAAGTTGTGTTGAGAATATGTAGGCCAAATAAAATCTGGAATCCAATGTATTCAGAATCACTACGATTTGTGTAAACATGGGATCTAGAAGAAGTAACACTTTGGAAGAAAGGCCACATGTTCTAGACCCTCTGACAATTAGAATCTTCACCATTCAGAGGGGACTAGGCTTAATCTAGAATATAGTTGTCTCGTTGCACTAAAGGAAAGATATTGTATTCTAGATCATCTGAAATTTTGGAGCCATATGTCTGAGACGAGGATTAGAACTACTAACATCCTGGATTGATTTAGAACCCAGGAACTATTCAGCTCCAAGAGAAAATCCCTGCATTCTAGATCAAATGAACTCCAGAGCGCACATTGTTCTGCTGAATAACAAAATCCTCTGTGTCTTGCATTTGTCTGGACATCACCTCTCTTTGAAAGTAAACTGCAGATGTTTCTAAGTTCCAGCTGCAAAAGTAAAGCTTTCTTTGCATATTTCAAGCACTCTGGAACCTATTTGCTTACTCACGGTCATGGACAATCCAGAATTTAAGTTTTTCTAGCCCTAGTGTTTCTTCAACCAGATTAGCTGTTACCTCTGTACCTAGGGTTGGCATTTATCAGGAGTTTTTAGTTAAAGCTTCTCCTTTAATTGGTTTCCCTCAAAGTTGGGTCATTTCTAGATTCTAGAGTGACTGGAATTCTAAAGAGGGTACTAGTTGAGCTGTTGTTCAAATTGATCTGTGCCAGTTTTAGAGAAAGATGCCATCTAAAACTGTGGGTCTTAATGGTGATGGAAAGGCTTCTAGATACATAAGAAGAGTCTGTTTTTGTAAAACTCTTGGCTCTGGCTCCAAAGTTATCAAGGGGTCTAGATCTCCCAAGCAGCTACAGATTGGCAGGCAGAAATTTAGAACCCATGGGATGCTGCTGAGTTTAAAACCATCCCAAGATGTGGTACCTGTGAAATTCTAGAATCAATAAGGAATCTGGAACCTATACGTTCATAGTATGGTTTTAAAGAGGGGAAATATCTAGGACCCATGAAACCAGCTAGGAGTCTAAGGCCGTGTCCACACTACAGAGATTTTGCAGAAAAATGGCCGTGTTTCTGCAAAATCTTGCGGCCCGTCCACACCTCAAGTGCGTTTTTGTGCAAAAAAATCAAAAGAACAGAGGGGGTTTGTGCAATTGCTATTCCTCTTTTTATGAGGAATAACTCCTTTTTGCGCAAGAGCTCTTGCACAAAAAGGCGTGTGTGGACAGGGAACAGGGTGTTTTGGTGCAGGAAGAGCCAATTGTGTGGACAGGGAACAGGGTGTTTTGGCGCAGGAAGAGCCAATCGAAAAAAGCACAGGTGCCCTGGCAGCCATTTTGTAAATAGGAATCAGAGTTTCCTTTTGAGAGAGTGTTCATGCAGTCTGGATGCTCTCTTGTGAAAAAGCACATTGCGTTTTTTATGCGCTTTTGCAGTGTGGACGCGCTCTTGTGCAAGACGTTTTTGCAGAAGATCTCTTCTGCAAAAAGCTTCTTGCGCAAGAAACCTGCAGTCTAGACATAACCTAACACACAAAGGTTTTTAAATGGTGAGTGAGCTAGAATCCATGCTCTTCTAGACTGAATTAGGAACCACTGAGTTACTGAGCATTGTGAGATCTGGGGCATGCACAGTTCTAAGAAACAGTCAAGAATCCATAACCCATTTGATAACATCGGGGTCTTAAAGCATGAGTGACCTAGAACCTGATCAACTACTCAAGCAAACTAGAACATACAGAGAAATTGTGGGTTTTAGATGATCTAAAATAGGTAGTGAACTCATGAACTTATAGGACAAATCAGGAAACGAGCACAATCTAGGGCTCCATCGAGAGGCTAAAGGGAGAGATATCTAGAACCCACAAGGCTGTAGAGCACATTGAGAATTCAGAACATATGAAATCACATCCGGGGCAGGAAGGGAATGAACCAGAATCTATGGTGTTCTAGACCCGGCCATTTGGGTTCTTGTGAAAGCCTGGGGAAATCCAGAACCCATGAAATTGTACAACACGCCATGTCTCTAGAGCCTGTTTCAGAGGCTGGGGGAGCTAGAAGCCGTTCAGCTCTATGTCAGCTCCTCTAGAGTCGTAGGGTCTAAACTCCCTGCCCTTGAATCCAGAGGCCCTGTCACTTGGTCCTGCAGCCCTGATTTGCTGGCTGCCATCCTGCCATTCTCATGGGACAGAGCATCGTTGCTGCTGGGATCTTCAGCAAAAATCTCCCGAATCAGAGCCAGCAGGGACCTCTTGAGCACCTGCTGAAACCTCTGCCCCACAAAGAGGTAGAGGATGGGGGTGAAGCAGGCATTGAAGCAGAAGGTGACGATGTAAAGGACCAGGATGACGTCCATCTCTGGCACCCTTTTGAAGGGCAGCAAGCCATAGTAGAGGTGGTAGGGCAGCCACGAGATGAAGAAGGACACCACCGCTGCCACCATGACTTTGAAGGGCTTCCCGCACCGTGACAACCTCTTCTCTTTCAGCTCCAGCCCCACCCGGCCGTA